AGGTCTAATCCCTATTCACCTTACACATTCTTTACCTTGTATGCATCATAAGTTTGCCAGGGATCAGTGAAGTTTGATTCATTGGGATCCGCTTTACGATGCTGCTGCTGCTGATGATGATGATGATAATATCGAGACTGTTGATCGTTAGTTATTTCCTGACTTGTTTCTGTAACTCGGCTAACCGTTTTCCTATAGCGTGATAAACTGGATTCTTCAGGTCTGGAATCGGACGCAATAGTCTATCCTGTTTGTGTGCATTAGATAACTTTGTACCTTACTGTTCCAATCCATATTTATATTTTGAAAGCCACCTGGAGGCGTGACTCCGTACCAACTTTTTCTGTGTCCGGGATCTGAAATGATTCACCGGACACCACCCCTTATGGACATGCAAACTTGATCAAATCGAGTCAGACCCGAATTCATCCCTTGTCAATAGTACACAATATGACGCGAACATGTCACTGAATTGTTACTGTGCTCTACTTTTGTAATCCCGTTCTTCTTCAGTCCTCGGATATTCTTACAGGACTGGATTGGGCTAGTGATGGACCGTGCGGCAAAATCTGTGAAGCATTTTCAGACATCGATATGTCTTGTTGGTTGCCCAAACAGGGAGTTTTACGTGAGGTTTGCACGGGGAAAAGTATACCAAAATTTACAAAATGATTCTCGTATGAGTTACCCAGGTTTGGTATAAAGTAGATTTTGAAAATTTCGGATTAAGGACATTTAGAACAGACTTTCAGTGTTCTCGCATCCCTCGATAACTCCGTGAAGCTTATGTGGAAAATACGGTTGACATTTTCTATAACCATAGAAATGGTAAAGCGAGACCAACGTCAAAAATATCACTTAAATGAATCCTCTTCCCATCATTCTTAGTTATGTGTCAGTAGTAGTAGTATCGAATAATTGACCATTTTACAGCATTTGTCTTTGTCCAATCCTCAGTTCACCAGAGTAGCCACACACACTCCTTTTGAGGGAAAGTTTAATTTATCTGTATTAATTGATGTCGTAACCCATTCAGAAGGTCCCAGCTTCACTACTGTCCATCAAAAGGTCTTCACAATGCTGTACGTGTGCACCCAATATACTGAAACAATTCAGTAAGAACATGAATTAGACTATGCCACACGCACTTAAGATCTCTGTTTTCAAATCTGACGGAACACATTTGCAAAAAAAATCATCCAACTTCCGAAGAGAAGAGAGAAGAAGAGAACCCGTTTTCTTTAGTTTATCAAAAATCAATTGACAGGTTTATTAACAATATTTTTGCGCTTGATAGGATTTGTCCTATTTCTGGATAGTTTTGCTTCCCTAATTGAATGAACATCTGTGAGGCTATCGATCGCGACAGCACTGTCTAATGATAGCACCTGTCTATCACACAGAAACCTGACCACTGCAACTCAGACAACAAATGTCCGTCAAATCCATCCAAACCAGGGAATAGATATTAGTCACTCCAAGGGAAGGGATTTCAGCCGGTTGCAAACTGCTTTTTTCCAATGTGAATACGCCATCTCAGTGCTCGTAAGAACTTTTTCTGTTTGAATTATTCTGTGCCAAATAGCAAGTAGAGCAAAAATGAATGACAAACAGATGGTACACAGTACACAGTACACAGCATAAACAGTATTATAACGTGCATTTGGGTCCCTGAAGTGGGTACACATTATTCAAAATATGTGTGTTTTTAGCAGCAGTAGCTTTATGATTCCACAAGGTAGTGGTGCCAGGAAGAGGAAGGTTGTTTAGTGGAGCAACGATAAGTGTATCGATAAATTAGTGTTCAACACAAAACATCTCATCTGGAACCGGTCAATCATAATTTCCACAAGCAAACAGGTTATCTGATGGAACGGTCCATTGTTAGATGTGCATTACTTTTAGTTGCAATTATAAATACACTTCTTCACTCCAGGCGGTATCGTTCATTTTTGACCAGCGTGAGAAACCTCTAATCGCATCAGTTTGCGCATTCCAATCATACTATTCACAAATGCGAGTAGTATCTCACAGCAGTAGTAATAGTGGGTGAGTAACCTCGAACAATATAATGTTGCCTAATTGTTTGACAATAAATCCGAGCAATTTTAAATGGGGTCTAATGATAATGTGTGTATGTCTGATCTAAAAATTGCCGGAGAACAATAAAGAAGTCAAATAACAACATTGGGATAAACATTAGTGCTGTGTTTTAGTTTGCACAATCAATAATCTAACCCTGTCTAGCTCCTTTTTTTGTTTGTCGTCTCTCGGTTACTAGTTTGGTAAAAATATATGTATATATATAGAACATTTTAACCTCAACGTGGGCTTGATTTGATTAAATGGAGACAATAATTAATTAGACCGAATAACCGAGAATCCAAAAACTGGTGTCTCCGTGATGGGAAAAATACACCTGAAGAATAACTGTTGGTGGCGCGCTAGAGAAATTAGATCGACCCGGTAGATCAAATTCCATGGGAATCACAAGTACACTGTTTGCTTTTTCAACTTTACCAGATCCAAGGATGCTACATCTTGTAGATATAGCATCGGTGTGAATAAGCGCAGCCTGGACTTTGGCATATTTCGCTATCTGTTGACGAAAGCAGTGCATAAAAGGTGCTGTAAGAAATAAATGTCTTTTTACTTCCTTTTTCTATTTGTTGAATATACAAACGTACAGTCAACTTTCAGGAAGGGGGCTGCGGCCATACAAAGGCTGCCTAAGGAAAATACACATATAGGAATACGGGCGGTGGTGGAGCGGTTTGAACCCGGGACACCCAGGTCACTAGTTGGTAACCTAACCGCTTGGCCACCATCGCAATTGCTCCTTTGAATTGTTAAGAAAAAGTTTGTATTCAATATTGAGTCGACAGAAGGATAACGGAGCAATATTATTATTTTTTTGATTACACACATTTAGTGTGATGAACAACTGACAGCGTAAACACCACAGTCACAAGAACCTGACGTTCATTTAAAGAAACCGGAAACCTAACTTTCGGGACTTGGAGTCGCGAATCATATAAGGCCTCTCTAGGTTATGCGTGGTATTTAATCGGACCACAGCAAAGCTGCCTACCATCAAAGTTGGGTGGCGGGGCTCGGACCATAGGGTCCACAGCACGCCGGTGACAGCGACGCCACCGCAATGCGAAGCACCTGTTCGGAGAACTAATTTATGTAACCAGCTTCTCTTCTTCGTATTTCTGTCAGATCTAACCAGACCCCTACTTCGTTTGCGTCAGCAAGAAAGAATCATAAATCCTTTGGTCACTCACAAACCCATAGTTTCCAGTACTAAAAATTATTTTTTGTAAGAGTTTTTATCGTCATGCAATTTTGAAAAATGTTTTCTATTCTATTCTTGGCATTGTAATGTTCTATCCCATCATCCTCGGGATTGCGTTTAATGCATGGCCCACATATTCTACCATCAATAGACAAAATGACCCCCCTCCCCTCAAAGCGGTTACCTAGCATACCAACTAAAAAAACTATGTAAACCTTTTCACTACTGTTTAATGCCATATTCTGTGCAACGTGCACTTTCCGCCTGGAGAATTTCCATACCACGGAGTGAGTGCCTCATTTTTCTTCCAACAACTGGCATAAAACGAGCGTAATTCAGTATCAAAAGATACACAAATGTTTTTCACTGAATTAACCTGAGAACCGTTCATAGCAGTTTTTCTATGCGCAACTGACAGATAGTCTTTCAGCGAATGGATCTATGTGAATCTTCTCAACGACGTGAGAATGTGACTCCAGTCGGGTGCCTCTGGCATTTGCCTAATGTTATTGTTCTATGATTTCTGATGTATCTAACACGCGCACACACCTCGTCTATATTTAACTACCAGAATTGGAAGAAAGAAAAAACAGCCAAATCGATTTGATATCCCCATGACAGATTAACTTTCCCTAGACAAGCAGAACGTCTGACTGAGTGATCTTTTATCTGACTCGATGTGTTCCGTAAGCATGCAACTGAAGCAGCAACTGAATAGAATAAGTGTATTTCACTAGATCCATTTGACATTCCAAACTGGATTCAACACGAAGTTTATTGGCTCAGGATTAAGACATCAGGTTGTTATTAAGTGTGCATAAAGTACGGAGTTTTTCAATCATCAAACACTTGTTGATCATGCAGCACCCTTAGACTAGAGAAAGAAGCCGTTGCCAGTGATCTACACTAGTGATAATGCTTGGTTGTTCAAAATTGCTGAAGCGATTGTTATAGACCAGTTGAAACCCCTTCTGTGCTCGCCGGTCACCACCCCCGTTAATCCCCCCTCTCCTTCCCATTTAAATTTGTTTGAATATTTTGTAAATCCATTCACCTACCTTATGTAAGCCATGTATTTGTCTGTAGTATAAATTATTTGCGATGTGACCATACTGGCTTCTGCGTTCAAACGTATGACGGGAAGAGCCCGTGTCATTTTAGTTGACAGTATGGTCTAATTTCTTTTAATTCCGTTTCATTGCCTCAAATATGTCTTCAATTTGCTAAGACTTAAATCTTTCCTCGTTAATGTCTGTTTATTAGTCTATTGTTGCAAAAAATTGTGACTATATGAATGAAAATGCTTCATTTACTCTGGTAAATCTTTTTATTCGAAATCCGACCTTCTCGCATTGCCTCTTGTGTCGTCAGATCACGCCGAGTGACGCACAACTTGTGGGTCAATTGCTTTCCGATTGTCTACCGGCGTTCCGTAACGGGACACTGAAACGCTCTTGTTGGGACCGGTATGGATCGGATCCCCGTTTGCTTTGTCCGCTCGTTGAACCGGTTCGTTGTTTGCGTTCTCCCCTGATCCCGTTCATACTGGCTACCTCACTGCCGGATCAAAGTCCACAGGCGGACAGTTGGCGCACCACATTGTTCCAGCTACCTGTGCGACAGGCAAACTCGTTAGCCATCTGGTTGGAATTGGAGGAGCTCGAACACAGTGGAAATCTAACACACGGTCTCCAAGTTCCCATTCACATGCTTGTGAGTAAGAGGCTTTTCAGTTCATTTCTTGAAGATATGACTTCTTAAGGGAATTATCAGGCAATCATGAATACAAATGGGCTGTTCTGTGCGAGTTCTTGGTGTTTGCACATCCTCTATCGGTCTTTTCTATCAGCAAAACCGTATCCGAGAGCGAAATTAATTGATTATCTAACTGTATGCTTTCTGTGATGTCCCGGAATCCAGTCATAGTCGCATGACTTGAAGGCGTCGGCAGGACACTCCTAAACAAACGCTGTCCTGCAACCGAAAGCACGATTATTCTTTTTCAGTGGTTTTATTATTTGTGGGATTCAAAATAAATCTCCTCGAATGGTCTTACGAGCTCAGATGAACCAGTTTGTGTGTGACACGGGGTGATCTTAAACAGCACACAAATGGGTCACCACGGATACATTCCCTGAAACATAGGCGTCCTCAGCCGCTCGAAACGTCCATTACTCCCACAATCAATCAATGCAAGAGCAACCTAGCGATATTCAAGTTTTTTTCAAGTCAGTAGTAGCTTTATGCACTCGGATGAGTGAATTTTCAGCATTTACACCATAATTGTGAATTCAAAGTTATAAAATCATTACATAATAAAACTGAAAGCAGTAGATTGTGTTTGTCAATGAAGCAAGCATTTGCGCAATTCTGTGGAAATTTTCTCTTTGTCAATAAGTGTACGTGCTGGATATGGTAGGACAAAATTACGATTAGCAGAGGTATGAGCAAATAAAAGTTTAAATCTTGAGTGTGTGGATGATGTAGATACAGCATTTGAAAATTCGTTGTGTAATGTAAGTGTCTGAGAGTATTTTGGCAGTGAAACTTTCGCGTGCTTGTAAATGTCTGTCTATGATAGAATCGGTGAGTTCATCCCTAACAATGCCACTACATTTAAAGATGTGTTTCAGAGATCTCGCCAGTTAATAAAAGACTTTCTTCAACATACCGGGAAAAATCACTGAGGAGCAAAACAACCAGTGAGGTAGCACGCATGCATTCACAAAACTAGCAATCAGCTTATGGGGAACAGAAAGTAATCTCAATCGGAGTGAGAAATATGAAAGCTTTCTAACTTTACAGAATGTTTTGAACATGCAGTGACCATGATAAATTGTGTGATAAGGTAACGCCAAGGTATTTTACTACTGTTGATTTTGGTGCGGATTGTTGATTGGCAGAGAGGGTAGGGAACCTATCTGTGAGGGCTGAATATGGTACATCGGCCAAGAGGGAAAATACAATATCCTAACATTTAAAGGCCTTCAATGAGAGAGAACGGGACAGGGACCAAGTAACAACGTCGTTTAACTTGCTTTGAATTTCGGAAGCCTCTTCATGGGTGGATGCTTTGCAACCTAAAACATCGCCATCTGCGTATTTACAGCCAATGGATGCAGGAGGAATGGGAAATTGTTTGACATACATTGAAAAGAAAAATGGGAAAAATATTGCACCTTGCAGAACACCAGAAGAAATTGGGAGAATAGAGGACGTTTTGCAGTTGAGGCACGTAAATTGCCTTCTACAGGATGACTGCTTCATCGTAGTCGAGCGTCTCGTCCCTCCCACTCGTAACCTTAAGCAAGTAAATTCCCTCTGACCCCTGACGCGATCTGATTGGATCATATTCCGCGAGCTGCGACGCCTAAAATCTCTCACCCTAAACGAGACTGTCGGATTACCGGCTTGTACTTTTTGTAATGCTCTTGTTGTTACGTTCAATCCA